GATAGCTGAATAGATTTTGGCCAATATTTATGAAGAAAGATTATTTATTTGCAAAGAAAAACACTTTTTTTTTAAATGTTTGGACTTTTTAATTTTTATAGAAAAAAAAATAAAAATCCCAGTGGTGAATAAATACCACCAAAATAAAGTTTTTTTTTGTCTTAAAAGATGCTAAAAAATTAATATGGGTACAGTGTTGCATGACTGCGCAATTGTCATTCAAAGTGTGATAGGGCTGAAAGCTGAAAAGTGGCCTGGACAGGAAGGGGTTGAAAGTGTCTGGACTTGAAGTGGTTAATTAACACTTTTATTTTTTCATTTTCTGGTTGTTTTTCAGAGGTGTGAAGGTCTTCATAGTGCTTGTAAAGGTATTAGGGTTCACCTAGCGTAGTATCCATTTGAAGTTGTATGACATGTATAAAAGGGGACTCAGTGAGCGCTTGACAATAAAAAAGCGGCTATTGCACTATAAAAAGGAACCAAAGATCTTCAGAAACAGCATGTTTTGTCTCAGGTTCTGTCCCCCTGCTATTGTACAGCGCTGAGCAAACCCTTTGGCGCTATATAAATACTGTATAATAATAATAATATAAAATTGTAAAAGTGCAGCGCTATTGTATCAACATAAATTATAAAGTGCTAGATATACCAATGATCTGTAGAATGGGTATAGGATGTGATGAACAAATATATTAAAGTGAACAAGTGTGTGATTTCAATTGTACAGGTTAATCCAATTCTTGACCAATAAATATATATATTGTGATAAATAATTGTCCCAATAAAAAAAATGTGTGAATAGTCCTTTGCATGATAATTACTCCAATTCTGAGGTATGGAGTAATCTATTCCGATATTCCAGTGATACATATACTGATTTTCCGGTGACGTGCGGGATATGGTAAAAATGCACACTCACCAGATGTGCATTTTAAATGCGCAGTATACAATATGTTGGAATCAGCCAGAGGTCCCCTTTAAAGGTGGGATGAAAATGCAGCCTGGTATGGATATCCCTTCTCTGGATTCTGGGATGGTTAAGGCCAGATGTCACTGGGGTTCCTGGAATATTAATAGCTCGGTGCAGAGCCAGAAAGGAGGGTGCCCATAGTGTAGTAATTTGATTGTAAATTTATTAAGAAACAACACATAGTATCCATGGAAATAAAAGCAGTTTAGCACATTGCGGACATGTGGAAAACAACTGACCAGCTGGAGAATTAAGATGGCCGCTGGACCTCCGTGATCCAGCGGCATGAGATCACAGCGTGCGGATCACAGAGGTCCGGCGGCCATCTTAATTCTCCAGCTGCTCAGTTGTTTTCCACATGTCCGCAATGTGCTAAACTGCTTTTATTTCCATGGATACTATGTGTTACTTCGTAATAAATTTACAGTCAAATTACTACACTATGGGCACCCTCCTTTTTGGCTCTACACCGAGCTATTAATATTCCAGGAACCCGGGTGACATCTGGCCTTAACCATCCCAGAATCCAGAGAAGGGATATCCATACTAGGATACTAGGCTGCATTTTCATCCCATCTTTAAAGGGGACCTTTGGCTGATTCCAACATATTGTTATACTGCGCATTTAAAATGCGCATCTGGTGAGTGTGCATTTCTACCATATCCCGCAGGTCACCAGAATATCTCTATATGTATCACTGGAATATCGGAATAGATTACTCCACACTTCAGAATTTGATTAACTATCACGCAAAACACTATTCACACATTTTTTTTTATTGGGACAATTATTCATCACGATATATATATTTATTGGTTAAGAATTGGATTAACCAGTATGATTGCAATCACACACTTGTTCACTTTAATATATTTATTTGTTCATCACATCCTCTACCCATTCTATAGATCATTGGTATATCTAGCACTTTATAATTTATGTTGATACCATAGCGCTGCACTTTTACAATTTTAGAAGTTGTATGACAAGTCTCACTGCTGCATTTATATATAAATCGCTTAGAACTGTTTTATTCAGCAATCCAGTTAAAATTTTAATAGCTGGTATAATGTGCTTTATACTGTATATATTTACAAACTCTGTGTGTGTGTGTGTATATATATATATATATATATATATATATGTATATGTAATGAAACTTAATTGCCAGAGTTACTTTATGATGTTGTTAATATACAGGTAAAATGAACATGACCACAAAGAAATGGCTGCTGGGCTGCCTTTATAGTAAGGGTAACTAATGTAAAGCACTTAGCAGATATTATAAAAAAGGGAATTCAGCCCACAGCACCAGCTGTTCTGGCACAGAAAAAGTTAAAGAGTTGTCTCTTTAAAAATAAAAAAAACCCAGGGAGGTCTGGGATGTACCAGGTAATCCTTGTTAATGCCCTTCTGCATAGGAGTCTCTAAGCTCTTTGCTGGATGCTGCAGAGAGTAGGATAAAAAAAAAAAAAGACAACCCATAGGTGCAATGGATTGGTCCATCCTACAGGCCAGCGTTGACTACTTGTGATAGGTGACTGGAGGTGGAGGAAGCAGTTAGGTGTCTAGAAGGAGAGGGGGAGGATGTTGGGAGTGATGTGACCCTTGTGTGTATGTGAACAGGCCACAGCTGGGAGTCACAGGACTAGGAAATAAAGGGGAAAGCCATCTTGCGTGGATGAGAGAGATAGAGGAAAGGAGGAGGAGGAGGAGGAAGGACGGACTACAGTTTCATAGGCTCTGGCAGCTGCTGCATGCTTGCTGATGCTTCTTTCACTGGCTTTCAGCAGTCATGAATCATTGTGAGCTGAGTACAAGCATTGCTAGCACACCAGACTTGCTGCTGGTGCCTCTGTCTGCCTGGATATAAATGGACACAGCACAGTACAACCTGCCCCACATCTCATCAGCTTAACCTTCACTGCAAGGTAGGTTATTCTAAGCAAAGCATCCATTTTCCTACTTGTGCTGCCTAAATATTGCGTTCCGGGAGCAGAAAGTTGGTTGCATATCTGTCATCCGCAAGCTGCAAGCTGTACCTAGATGGATCTAGCAGCAAACTTGCAATGCAGATGTTTAACCCCCTTTGTGGCAGAGGCCGGGAGCTTCCTGCCAGTGCTTTCTATTGCAAATGAGGGGCTACATTGATATGCAAGATGGAAAAAAAAATAATAGTCTTGAATGGTTTACATAAGAGGGTCTGTCACGCTTGCACCCCACCCCACTTCTACGCTTACACCATATGGAAACACAGGGATTCAAATGTCAGTAATAAATGTATAGCTGCCACAGTGATCTCTTTAGAAGAGACATACCTGTGGTTGACCTTGACTAAGTCATTTTATCTCTTAGGATATGATGGTCTAAGCCAATAATCTAGTAGGAAGGGTTAACAATGTGTAAGGCAAGTAGAATACATCAAACCTTTAAAATTCTGTTGTCTATGTATAAAGCTCATTGATAAGGCCTTTCCCTTAAAATCATTCCTATAGTGTATAGATATGGGCATAAAACAGAAAATCCCACACTCCAGATGAGCTGTCATTTTTTAAATTGGCTCCGCGGTGAATTTTGAACAAATTATCCAGTTGAAAATGTGAACTGTCAGTTGTATTTTTTTAATTCAGTGTACAGGGTGCTAACAGTAGTAACCCATAGCAATCTTATCCAGCAGTTGCAAGCTGTCAGATCAATGAAAAAGGATTGCTGGTTGTTGTAGGAGACTGCTTTTCTGTGCATTGCTCTGTTTACTAGGCCCGCCAAGAATCTTCGATAAAACAGTTTTAAGCAACCCATAACAAGCACTAAGAAAAGAATATCTGATCTGATTGTTGCGTTCTAAAATCTGATGAGTTGCTGCACCTTCATTGCTCTTCCAGTGGCTTTAGTGAGTTTCTTGAGGAGTCTGAATAAAGCCGTTGATGTACAAAATTCCACAAAGTCGGTTTTTTGTAAGATCATTCTTTACAAGGAATATAAATGTTTAAATGCCTTGCAGTCAGACTTATCCAGTGAGTGGGCCTTGCATGTCACACTGAATCTGTTTGGGGATATATTTGATCGGCGAATTAGCGGTTTGCAGTGTCATCCACCACATACCTGGTCTTGAATTCTGTTTTTCCTGAACCTGTTTGACTAATGAAAGGCCAAATGGAATTTGCTAAATGTGCACCATCGAGTTTGTGCAAAGGGAATTGGCTGTAGCCTCGTGCCAATGCAGAATGCAGCATCTGGAAGTGTTACCTATATGGAAAGTTAGCAGCATGTGTACCAGTTGGGGCTGTGCATATCTAGACTTCACATCACACAGTTGCCCCAACATTGAGTGGGTTGTATCCTTCCGTCAGCTTTTTTAATGTCATCTTTCATACTTATGCGTTCCTGTTTACTGCTTTACTTAAAGTGGTTGTAAAGGTTGAAGGTTTTTTTTACCTTCATGCATTCCATGCATGAAAATAAAAAACCTTCTGTGTGCTGCTCTCCACACAGTCCCCCCCTAATACTCACCTGAGCCCCCTCCTGATCCAGCGAAGTGCACAGGAGCCTCTGCTGTCCTGTGACTCCCTCTCATTGACTGAGACAGCAGCGAGAGCCATTGGCTCCTACTGCTTTATATCATAGTCAGTGAGCCAATGAGGAGAGAGCAGGGATGGGGCCAAGCCACGGCTCTATGTCGCTTATGAACGCATAGAGCTGGGCTCAGGAAAGAGCATGCACCAGTGCCACCATAGCAAGAGGCTTGCTATTGGGGCACTGGTCAAGGGGAAGGAGCCAAGAGTGCCGGCAGGGGACCCCAAGAAGAGGAGGATCAGGACTGCTCTGTGCAAAACTATTGCACAGAGCAGGTAAGTATGACATGTTTATTATTTAAAAAAAAAAATCTGAAACCTATATTTAATATCATTTTAATGGAATGATCTTTGGGGTTAATTTGTTACTTATAACAGGACTCTATCCACAACTTTGCTGTAGGCAGGGAATAGAATATTTTGATGATCCTTCTAGCTGTCTCCCAGCTTCAGGCATTGATTGTGATTGCTTAATAAGAGCTGATTCACACATGTGCGGTGCTCATTTTTCACAGCTAATTGACCCAGTAGTTGTTCAGCAGTTCATGTCAGGTGCAGGGACAGACTGACAACGCATGGGACCCCCAGGCAATAGGGGATCATGGGGCCCCTGTGTCCTTTCCCACACTCAAAGCACACCCAACAAAGCCTATAAGGCTAAAGGTACCAGGGGCATTTCATGGGGCCCCCTACTGACCCTGGGCCCTCGGGCAGTGCCTGAGTGCTCCAAATGGTCAGTCCGTCCCTGGTCAGGTGTACATCAGGTTCAGGACAGGATTAGTTCAGGATTTTATCCTGTTCACACATATGCAGTTTAAAAACGGTTCCCATAGAAGTCAATAGCCTGTAATCTGCACTTGAACCAGACCGCAGTGCTCAGAAATCGTACAGGACTCTTTTTCAAACCGCACTGAATCCGCACCACCAGCTTATCGAACATATGTGAGCTGGCACCACAGGAAGCAATGTTATTGCACATGTCATGCGGATTGGATGCGGTTATATGTGAACCGGAACTAACTTCCAGGTTACAACCCCCAGAATGAGGCTTTCATATATTTCTGTGAAATTACCACTAAGGGTTAAGAGGCATGCAAACCTCAGGCAGACCCTTTAGGGGATGCTACATAGAAATGCATGTTTTTCCATTCTTAAAAGTTTAACAATTTAGATCTTAGTCCAACCCTACCTGGGAGGTAGAAGGAGCTCTCGTCTCCTGTGACATGGGACAACAGCAAAGGCAAGGTGGATGAGAAAACTTTGTTTTACCTCACCAAAAACTACATTAAAGTGATTCTAAATACTATTTTGGTTTAAAATTTAAAAAAAAAGTTACACTTATCTGCTTTGTGTAGTGAGATTGCACAGAGAGGTCCCTTACCTCCTCTTCAGGCAGTCCCCCAATGGCACTGTCTCCTTCTCCCTCCTCAGGGTGCCTCCTTAACAAGCTGGGTGCTAAGGAGGCACCTGTGCAGGGAGTGCTTCTGAGCTAGGCTGTGTGAGCACACAGACGCACACAGCAAGTTTGATTGACAGTGGCAGCCCTAGAAAAAGCTGAAGTGGTGACAGGAGTCAGGTAAGTATTTAGGGATGAGGGTAATGCAGAGAATGCATTAAGAGAAAAAAACAAACAAACTTTGGACTATAGAACTACTTTAAATTGGGCCTATGTGCTACTTTATGCAGTGAAAGCAGATCTTAGCTGGTGGGTAGAGCTGGCAGGGTGATGTACACAAATTTGTGAAAATATCATAGCACCCTGCGACAGTACTCCACTGAAGATCCTTCAGCCCTGATGTAAGCAGTAGGCTTGCCCCTCTTCCACCTTTAATATGTGGGTGGCATCCTGCTTTTCCTTGCAGACCACCATAGGTAATGCCCACATGTTATACTAAGCCTTCATGATTTAAAGAAATGAAATCCAGTCAATGAAAAAAGGCATCCCAAGAACAGTCCGGCTGAGGAGAAAAGGGCTAGATGATGCTGGACATGTTGTAGCTGACTTGCTGCAGCTTCTGCTACACATTGTGAAAAGCTCACAGTGTGCAGTGAAATGAAAGTGAGCAGTTTCAGTATAGGAGAGGAGAATGTACAACTGTACAAGCCTGCAGGCTGGAGTTCAGCTTTAATGAAGCACAATAAAATAACAAGCAATACTCCAATATGACTTTCCTTATCTAAAATATGGTGAGCTATTTAGGGTTACTGCACTTCAGTATTGCGTTACAATAAATCTATATGTGTATGGCCAGCTTAAAGATTATCTAAACCCACAAAAAAAAATTTAATTTATTTTAGCTTAAAAATCATTAAGTGTGATGGCTGCATTACTTTTTTTTTAGACTTTTTTCCTTTATTTTCACCTGGTGATATGGTCAGTAACTCTATTATTTAACAACTTACTTTAACCACTGGAAGGTTTTACCTCTTTCATGACCAGACACTTCTCTGCTTTAACTGGCAATAACATGGTCATGCAATACTGTATGCAAATTACATTTTTTTCACACAAATAAAGCTTTCTTTTGGTGGTATTTGATCACTGGGTTTTTCATTTTTTATTATATAAATGAAAATTAAAAAAAAAAAATATTTTCTAATTTCTGCTATAAAACATATCCAATACAAAACATTTACTTTCTGCTACATGTCTTTGGTAAACAAAATCCCAATAAATGTATATTAATTGGTTTGTGTGAAAGTTATAGCATCTACAAACTATGGTATATAGATACTGGAAATTATGCAGCTATACACGCTAAACTGTAATGGCTGTGTGATTTATAGTGAGTGTAGGACAGGTAGGCAGGCAGTCTAACAGATATTATCTGGGAGCAGGGGCGGACTGACAACTCATGGGGCCCCCAGGCAATAGGGGATCATGGGGCCCCTGTGTCCTTGCCCACACTCAAAGCACACCCAAAAAAGCCTATAAAAAGGTACCAGGGGTATTTCATGGGGCTCCCTACCGTCCCCGGGCCCTCGGGCGGTTCCCGAGTGCTCAAATGGTCCATCCGCCCGTCTGGGAGGGTCACTAACTTTCTCCTACGTTGCTAGTGACACTAATACAGTGATCAGTGTTCATAATGTATATGGACACTATACTAATAACACTGGCTGGGAAGGGGATAACATCTAGGGGCAATCAAGGGGTTAACTGTGTGCCTAACAATGTGCAATGTGTGCTGCCTTTACTCTCTGATCTGGCTGGTTTTTCTCCCTGCTTTGCAGGGAGAAGAAACAGTCAGATTGCTGTTCCCTGTACACAGAAAGCAAGGAGCTCAGTGTGTGATTGGACACAGCCGATCAGCTGACTTCAGCCAAAATCATTGACTGAAATCAGCTATCAGACTTGTGCGGTCCAATCACATCATGGGTCAGCAGGAGGCGCGCATGTGTGTACCTGCAACTGCCACCCGCTCACATTATATTTTCTGTGAGCAGTCGGTAGGTGGTTAACAGAAAAATGTGGCAGCTAAGGGGCCGAGACAAACCATTTACCACTGACGGGTGCTTACAATGGTCAGTTTTTATTCATGTTAAACCTCTTTCCAAAAGGAAAAAAAAGGATTTTTAATTTGTTAAGCTGGCCATACACTAATAGATTTTTGAATGAATATTTATGTGAAAATTCTCAGTACATTTGATGAGTTGACAAATGTTGTTCAAAAGTAAAAATTTTATTTGCTTTAACATTCAATTTTGGAATGAAGTTCCCAACGAAATCCACATACACAGTTGGAACTTTGTTCATTTCAGAAACATATGTCCATCCTACTCCTTCAAATTTTATCTTCACTATAGTCAAAAGTTAATGGCTACTTGACCACAGTAATGATTAGAAAAAAACGAATAAACATTCTTAAAATGAAAACATTTAAATCAAATTCTGCTGTTGTATGGCCAGCTTTAGTCATTTATGTAAAGTCCATAATTTACTTGTCCATCTAACACTCTTCAAACAATGCTCCTGTCCAAAGTGGCTCCTCTGTCCAAAGATAGGAGACACTCTAAAGCCAGCCATAGATGGGTCGAATCTTGGCCAGTTCAGTAGGCACCAGCTGAAATTTGATCCATCTATGTGCAGGCAGATTGTACCCACGTCGGTCCATTGATCGACTTGCGTACAACCAGCATGTATGATTTTTAGCATGCGATTGTTGTCATGTACTGCAACGCAATGTCAGATGCTTTCCAAATCGCACTAGTGTAACCTGGGGCTTGACAGCTGCAAGAGATCATCTCCAGGCTTTGTGGGTGATTGGAATGATCTTGCCCATTTCACAGTGCAATTTTGATGATGTATTACTAAGGTGGAGCTTTGTGTGTCTGTAGGGCTGTGAGTTTTATTTTTGCTCAACCAGCAGGCTGAGAGAAAAAAAAAAAATAAAATGACAGATTTTTGCACCCATCCAAGTGATGTGGATGCAGGAATCTACCCGGCTGTGCTATTGTATTCTGACAGCAGGAATACTACCCCATCCATCAGAATACACTGATCAGCAATGCAGCTATTGGCTGCAGTGGCTCATCAAATGCTGCTTTTCCAGCCGGATCATTTGACAGAAGGCTGTCCTACAATTGGCTTCTAATGAATAGACAGGGCTATGTACAGATCAAAGTTTGGCCAATTTCTGATAAACCAATTGCATTTTGCTACCTGTGTACCCAGTATGGGTCCCATGTCAGATATAAAAGGGATGTCTTGAACATGGAATCTCTTGTACTCTTAAAAACAAACAAACTAAAAAAAAAAACCAAAACATTGGCTGATGTAGCAACCCCTAATTGATTCCTTCCTTAACCAAAGATTCATGCCAGTGGTGAAAGCTGTTGAAGATAATTAATACAGATAGCATTCAGAAAGGATACATTAAAGTTGTTATATTATACACATGAATAGTTAAAAGCTACTACTGCTAAATGTATCAAATGGTGGTTCCAGTATTTCTAAAAGATACACAATTAAATAACCCTCAAAGTTTCCCTATACCTTTGTATGTGAAGGCACAAAGCCAAAAAAAACTAATGCAGCCATCACATTTATGGATTGCAAATATATTACATTTTTGTTTTGGGGTTTAACTGTGCTTGAAAGTAATACTAAAAGGTTATTTTTTTTCAAAAATAACAAACATGTTATACTTACCTGCTGCACGCAGTGGTTTTGCACAGAGCAGCCAGGATCCTTCTTTCCTCAGGTCCCTTGCCGCAAGCAGCTTGCTATGGGAGCACACCCGAGCAGGCATGTTCCCAAGCCACTGCTCCAAGTGTCTATTCATGGAGCCACAGCTTGGCCCCGCCCCTTCTCTCTCCTCATTGGCTGATTGGCGGTGATTGACAGCAGTGGGAGCCAATGGTTCCTGCTTGCTGTCTCAGCCAATGAGGAGGCAGAGACCCAGGACAGCCGAGACTGTCATACACTGGATCGCAATGGGGCTCAGGGAAGTATTGAGAGGACTGGGGGGAGCTGCTGCACACAAAAGGTTTTTTACCTTAATGCATTCTATGCACGAAGGTAAAAAACCATGAGCCTTAACTTACAACCACTGTAAATCTTCAAAGAACATAATCTGTCTCAGGCAATCTTTTTTTGTGTCATAACAGGAAATTAAAATGTAAGTTTGAGTTTGATTGCAAACATTCAAAATCAGCAGGGGATCAAATACTTATTTCCTTCGCTGTATACTGGATTTTTTTTATATACTAGTAATGGCAGCAATCAGCGACTTATAACGCTTATAACGGGACTGCGACGGGCATTCTGACACTGGGAGGGAACTGACTAACTGTCACTGACATCCCCAGTGACACTAATATAGTGATCAGTGCTAATAAAAAGCACTGACACTGTACTAATGACACTGACCAGGAAGGGGTTAACATCTGGGGCAATCAGAGGGTTAACTGCATGCTGTGTGCTGTTTTACATAATGTGCTGTTTTACTAGGGAAACATGCTGCTGTGTATTTCTCTACTGTTACTGCTGGCTTGTTTACACACAGGTCTCTCCCCTGTCAGTGTTACTCGGCGATTGCCGGCTGCTGGTGGGGAATCTCCGGGACCCTGTGATTGATATCCGTAGCCTCCAATGGCGGCGCGGTAGGGCACCCCATACCCAGAAATGCAAATCATGTGTGTATATGTGTATATATATATATATATATATATATATATATATATATATATATATAAAATATTGTTTTGCACAGCCCTGCTGCCCTGTAGCAGTAGTTCTACTATGGGACGGCGGGCAAGTGGTTAATGTATTCAGGCGTTTTTTGGATGGGATTACCTGTAAATGTGCAATATTTGCCAGGAATATGCTCAGGCCACCCATTGCAGTTCTCCCTCCATATTCTATCAGGGTGTTGCACAGTTGCTCAGGAATAATTTGCACCATCTGACTGTTTTGGACAGGGCATGATTCATTTAAGCTATTCATGCACAAAATCACACAATACAAATCATCATTCTGGTACAATTCTGTGTCAATATTACAGTGTGGTAATAAAAAAATATATATATATATATATATATATATATCAGAACTCATTAGCTCTGAGCAGAGAAGCGATCAAATAAACAGCTGGAAATGTCCTCTCCAGGTTGTTGTGAGAATCCAGAAATCTAGAACAGCTGTAGACTCAATGCACAGATATTACTTGTGAGATAATATTTGGTGAACCTGAGATAATGTCACGCAGTAAAGACCTAGTATTTCCATGGAGGGTTTGGCAAAGCAATGAGTTAAGGCTGAATGCACTTGTTCATTTGTTGAAAATACTGTACGACTAACAAGTGCCAGGATTTATCTTGATATCATCTTCCTGTAATCACCCAGGCTGCGGAAAAGGGACCATTTTGAACCTGTTGGGCTCTACAGCATTTCTAGGGGCTCATTCACATGTCTGACTAAACGGACACCCTACTGAAAAGCAACCCATGGTGGATCACTTTTCAGAGAGCGTTTGGCAAGCTGAGAGGAGACAATATGTTTCTTGTTTGCTGGCTGATTTAACCCTCACAATACTGACCCAACATGCCACCAACTGTGTGCTTTGCAGGATGGTTGCTGAGTGGCTCCATTCACTTGAAGGGGTTGCATTTGGTGGCAGTAATGCCTGCCAAAAGTGAAATGCCATTTAATTTTTTTTACTGTGGAATGTTTACATTAGGTTTAGGTGGGCAATCCGTAGTAGTAAAATCATAGCTCAATCAGCTGCTTTTACCATCGCCAATGTGAAGGAGCCCTAAGACTTGGGGTCACTTCACTAAGGCCCAGTTCACACCACATGCAGTCCAGTGTGTTTTTTTTCTGCATCAAAAATGCATTGTTAGTAGGTTACAGGGTTTCCAATGGCACAGTTCACACCAGAATGGTCAGTTCCAATGCATTCCAGTACCAGAAAAAAAGTAGAACATGCTGCATTTTTTCTGCACAGAACTGTACTGGAATGCAGTAAAATGCATCAAAAAACACACCAGAACACACCTAAATGCACCAAAAATGTACCGGAATGTATATGTCCTTATTTAAGTTGAAGAAAAAGAGAGGGGAAAAAATGACCCGTAGAGTATCAAAACATACTAGAACACGTCAAAAATGCACATACAGAAATGAATCCAGAGCACAGTGGTTAAATGGTTAGCACTTCTCTCTGGCAGTACTAGGGTTGTTGGTTTGAATCCCAGCCACCTGCCTGGAGTTTGCATGTTCTCCCTGTGCCTGCGTGGGTTTCCTCCGGGTACTCCGGTTTCCTCCCACATTCCAAAGAGATGCTGGTAGGTTAATTGGATCCTGTCTAAATTGGCCCTAGTATGTGTATGTATGAATGTGAGTTAGGTACTGTAGATTGTACACCCCTTGAGGGTTAGGGACTTATGTGAATGTACAATATATATGTAAAGTGCTCTGTAAATTAACGGTGCTATACAAGTACCTGAAATAAATAAAATTTAAAACGCATCCAGACTGCGTTTCTATGGTGTGAACTGACCCATAAGG